AACCTTGTCGAAACGTTGTACATTTGCTGTTATGTTAAACTTATATTAAAGTTTTTCTTCATTACCCATTCAAGCCATCTCCAACCATTATTAGTCTCAAAGCGGGTTTCTCATCATCGAACTTAAATAAATCATTTTGAAATTATGTATCTATTCTTTTTAAACTGTAATGCATATATATTTGTATATGTATGTGCGTGCGTGTGTATGCATGTGTTTGTATATGTGTATTTGTATAATCATTTATGTATATATATTTGGGTGTATGTGTGCGTTCACTTATGTACATATATATTTATCACTTTCTGTTGTTTCAGTTGTTTGTATGCATTATTATACACGTATATTTGTTACATTGTCACGTGACCATCAATTTAGAATGTTTTTGTTTATGGATTTACTGTTCAGTTAGTGATACCTGAAGAAGGGCATTACCCAAAACATTGTATCCACAATTATATATATTAAAAATATATATATAATGGCTGAAGACTGTCAGTGTAAATTTCTTGTACCTGATGATGACAAAACCTTGTCGAAACATTGTACATTTGCTGTTATGTTAAACTTATATTAAAGTTTTTCTTCATTACCCATTCAAGCCGTCTCCAGCCATTATTAGTCTCAAAGTGGGTTCCTCGTCATCGAAAATAAATATATATATATATATATATTAACTTCTTAGTGGTTTGACCTATAACATACATTTTTTAAAATTTACTGTATCTACTATGTTTGCTCCTTTTCTGCCTGGAGACACATTTAACCCTAATACTCAAGCCATGGGATTGGCACCATCAGTTGTGGAGGTGCAGGATTTGGTTCAGTGGGAATTAGCATCCTATATTGGGCCTGGTTCGTCATCATCTCCACATGAGGCAGCGTTGGCTGATGAGGAGGGGCATGAAGAGGAGAAATTTGACCAAGTTTTTCCTGCTCCTTTGTTTGCTATGCCTTCTCTTCAGGCAACAATGGAGGAAGTTTGACCTTCAACGCCATTCCTACAGTTGGTTACTTAGGTTTGCGGTATCTTTCAACTTTCTCCTGTGTCTTATGATTCATCCCCTTCCCTATTAAATGAGCTCCCTTTTACAGATTACTTGTTTTTTCCCATTCCCCAGATACAGAGGTTCATGTTCAAAGATTTTTGTCTCAAATTCTTTTGGGTTCTGGTATGCCTTGCCACCCTCATGTTTCTGAGCAACATGCTTTGGCCTTTCATCATTCTCTCAGTTCTTATTTGGATTCTCAATGTTTGAGTTGCCTTTTACCGATATGAGGTTCTAATCCTGAGGTTTGTTTCTTTGTCTCAGGCCCAATTTTTAAGTATTTGTCTCACTGTTACCTATGTTTACATTACCTCTCTTCTATGCACCTGTTATCAGAGGCTTTTTGCTGTTCTCCCAATGATTTTTTGGAGGGAACTCAGTTCTAGTTTGTGGTCGTCTTTGGCTATATTTTTCTCATCTGACCTTTCTCTGCTTACATGGCTTATTTATTATTAGGAACTGTTGGGGAGAAAAGTGCTACTTATTGGAGTTTGCCTCTCCTTTTCTTCCCCTCAGAACTTGCAGGTGGCTCCTTTTTTGTGTGATATCGTTTTTGGGGGTTGCCCTGTTTCTTTGGAATCACAGGTTGATGTGGCCAGGTTACATAATTCTCTCTCTTCCTTGGCAGATCCTTTATCCCAGCTTTCCACCTTCTCTTCTCCTGATCCTTTTGTTGTTTCACACCCTTTGAAGTCCACACCTCCTCCTTTACCTGTGTCTAGTCATTCTCGCTCTTATCCTCATATTGACCACATACATCAGGAGTGGTGGCAGTGGTATTATTGACTGTGAGTTCAGGTCTTTCGTGGAGGTTTGGGGAACTTTTTCTATAAATCAGTGGGTTATCCAGGTTTGAGCAAGGTCTTTCTCTTCACTTCAGGTCTCCTTTCCCTTTCTTCTGCCCCTATTCTGTTCCCTCCTCCAAATGATCCAATTTCTTGCATTTCTCTTTCTCAGGCTGTGTCAGAGCTTCTGCTCAAAACTCAATCGAATCAGTAGTTCCAGTTTCTCCAGGTTTTTATTTTCAACTGTTTGTCGTCCCCAAGAAAACCAAAGATTGGAGACCAGCTATAGATCTGTACCATCTCAATCAGATTCTGGAGCCCCCTTGTTTCAGGAGGAAATCTATTATGAAATCCTTTCTTTCCGTTTGTTGGGTTTTTTCTCTGTGTTTGTGGATGATCAAATTTGACGTAGCAGATGCTTATCTTCGTGTGCCCATCCTCCTGTTTTCTTCTGTTCGTTCATGAGAGACTTGATTTCCAGTTTTGGGCTCTTCCATTCAGGCTTGCCATGGCACCTTATGTTTTTTTTTCAGATTGTCCAAACTTTTGCTCACCATTCTTCAAGCAGCATCTGTAGTACATACTCATTTACTCCTCTAGAAGGCAGCGAAGGTATATTTGTTGATCAAGTTAGAGAAATCACTTCTTTCCCCACTCTTTATTTCATTAATTTGGGTATATTCTTCAATTCCCATTGCAGTTGGGCACAACCATCTTTCCTTCATATTCAGGATATGGAGAGATTGGTAGTCAAGGCTCTGTCCTCTTTTTTCTCTGCCTGCTCGAGAGGTTCTATCTCTTTTGGGGTTGTGGGCTTCTTTAGAAGCACTCATTTCTCTCGGCATGCTCATATGCATTCTTTTCAGTGGGAACTGTAAGATCAATTGAATTACCACTTGGATCCATTAGATTTTCAGGTCATCTTTCCAGTTTCCTTGCGAACAGATCTTACATGGTGATTGAACAGAAAAAATACTATGGTTGATGTACATCTTCCACCTCTTTGTCCAGAGCAGCATCTGTTCATGGATGATTCTCTTGTGGGTAGGGGTGCATATCTAGATTCACAGGAGATCTCTTAAACTTGGTCTTCTGTGGAATCAGGCCTTCATGTCAATCTTTTGGAGCTCTTGGTGGTTCATTGGGCCTTGTCTCATTTCCTTCATCTTCTTGGAAGAGGGTGGTTATAATACATTCTGACAACTTTTCGGTGGTCTCCTACATTAACAGACAGACAAGGAGGCACCAAGTTCAGGCCCTTGTGTTTTTGGACACTGGAACTCCTTTTATGGGCTCAAGAGCACAATATTTACTTATTGGCTTGCTATATCCCTGTGGCTTTGAATCTGGTAGTGGATCGGTTATCCCAACCACACAAAGTCCTTGCTACAGAGTAGTCCTAAGTCCTCAGGTTTTTCATTAGTTGTGTTTTATTCTGGGTACTCCTCACAACGATGCTTTTGCAACTCATCTCAACACCAAACCTCCACCATTTTGGTTTCCAGTTTCTCATTTCCAGGCATTGGGTATCGATGCTTCAGCCAGAATTGGTAGGGTCTTCACATTTATGTCTTCATACCTACACATCTCATCACCAAAGTTCTCTCCTTCATCCAATTCACTCCATGTCAAGTACTCTTCATAACTCCATGCATTTGTAGCCAGAAGCATGGGTCTGACACAGTTTGTTGCTTCTCTTCCTTTGTGTTCCATCTGTTCCTCTACTGTGTCAGTACATTTACCAACTCTGTTGGTCTACTTTTCATCATTGGTCAATTAGACATGGTTTCAGTCCTTCACATCCTACTGTGCTTCATCTTTCCCAATTTTTCTCTAGGCTTTTTGATCAGAATCTTTCATTATTGATGGTTTTGGACTATCAGGCTTCTTTGTTCAACACTTTTTTGTTTTACATGGTTCCACCAGATTTTTTCATTGCCATTTCTTTCCCTCCTCTTCTGGTCATTCTGACTTCTTCGACCTTGTCTCATATTTGTCTCCTCTCCCTGATTGGGATCTTAATGTTATCCTTTATGCCTTATCACTTCCTCCATTTCCACCCTCATCCTTCTGTTCCCTTTATCTTCTTTCTCTTAAGACCAATTTCCTTCTCCTGTTGGTATTTGTCTCCTCTCCCTGATTGGGATCTTAATGTTATCCTTTATGCCTTATCACTTCCTCCGTTTCCACCCTCATCCTTCTGTTCCCTTTATCTTCTTTCTCTTAAGACCAATTTCCTTCTCCTGTTGGTATTGGGCCTACGTAGATCTGACGTTTTTGCCATTGATGTTTCCCATACTCTTTATCACTATCTTTCTCCCTTTCATCTCGCATCTTTATTCCCAATCAGATGCTGATCGCCTTCTGTGTCCTGTATGAGCAGAGCATTGCTATATTGCTCATACTTCTCCTTTTTGTGGTTTCCATTCTCGTTTGTTTCTTTCCTGCAGTTCTGTTGTTTCCTGCGATCTTTCTCTCATTACAATTATGGGTTGGGTTTGCCAGCTTATTCAGTTGGCTTACGCTTCCCTTTCCAATGAAAGGTATTATCTTTATCATGTCTCCTCTCAGCAAATTTGCCATGTCACCTTGATTGAATAAATTGTGAACATCCTGCTTTTCAAAATTGGGTTTTGCAGTCACCCATTGCATATTCTCTGGTGTGTTGTTCCTCCAGACTCTCCACCACATTTTTTACCCTCCCTTCCTCAAATGGTGTAAGAGAGTTCTTACCATTTTCTAGTTCCTAGTCATTGCAGTGGTGGACCATGGATGCTTTTCTCGAGAGTGTGATGTACATATATTACAATTTCTCTTGAGAAAGTGATGAAACTGGAAATCTTCTCTCTCTCCTGGGTTGTGGTTCCACATGGTCAGATGTGGGAGGGAGCCAGATCAACTGATGCTGGATTCTCCTCATAATACTGAGTTCAGGGTGATAGATCTCGTTCCTATGGTGTAGACCAGTTCACACACCCCATGTCAGTAATTCTGGCTGCAGGATGTCTTGTCCATGCTTCATTTGATTGGGTTCATGGGACTTTGTCCACTTCATAATGCTGATTGTAGGACATGTTATACCCTGTTACTATGGTTGAGCAGACATTCCATATTCTCCTCATAATTTCAAGAATGTGGTTGAGTAGTCTTTGTCCTGTGCCTGCTCATAATACCAGCTACGGGATGCATCCCTGTTTTTACGGTTGAGTATCGAACACCTCCCCATAATTTGAGTTCAGATTGGTATATTTCTTGACTCCCACAGTTGATGTGGAAGTTTGTCCCATTCTTGCTTTTTGCTTCCTTTCAACATTGAAATTCCGGTTGCTTGCAATATGACACTCTTGTTTACTTACGACTGGGGTTTGTGAATATATTTTGCTCATGGTCCGCTTGCCATAGCCACATTACCATATTTTTCCTCTGTTGATTCTTTAGCACTGTCCTTCACCTCATAATACCAAAGATGGGATGTGGAACCTTGTCTGCATGGTTGGAGTAAATCTTTTCTACCATTTATTCCAAGGCTTTTCCATTATTGGTCAGGTCCTCGAGGCCACCTGTTTCACAACAGTTCACTTCTTCACTGGCGAAGGGCATACCTGTTTCAGAAGTGGCACAGTTTCCCTCTAGTGTGCTTTCAATCAGTTGCTATGCACACTTTTTAGATTCTTTCCCTAGGGATTCTATTATTCTTTCTGTTACACCAGTCCTTCCACCTACTCAGTGTGGGATTCTAGCTTTAAATGTGAGAAGAGGTATGTATCGTATCGGAAGTTGTCATTTTTCTACACTGAAAATAAATTTCCGATCGATACTTATCTCTTTTCACATACTTCTCACCCTTCCTCTCCATTTTTGGTGTTTATCTTATTTTATGGTGTGCCTAATCTCGAAAGTGAGATACACAGAAAATGTATTACAGAGGAAGCCAGCTGCTCAGGAAGTGTGTGTCATGCTCCTATTGGTGGATGATTGTCACATGTGCTATGCATGCTAAATGACCAGCAAGAACTGAGGGGTATAAAAAAAGGCTAGTGCATTAGGCGAGAATTAAGATTTTTAATGTGTTAGTGGGCAGTCCGAGACCGAGAGAAGTTTTTTAGGTGAGAGGAGGTATCTATCAAGAAATCTGTCCCTTAGCACAGTTATTTATTACAACACATGGCAGTGGGCATCCCTGGGCAATATTACCGTATAGTGGACAAAGAAACATCAGCCCTCGGGAGATTATGGTGGCATTGGAGTACTACACTATCTCTTGTGAACGGAGCAAGTGCTGGCTTATATAAAAAAGAAATATTATTAAACCTTTCAAATATGCATCTATAAATATAAATAACACATAATTAAGTAAAATATAAAATTAAAACCTAAATACAATGTAACTGTCTATCTAACTAATGTATTTCTGAGTGAGATATAATGCTAAAGTGGTAGGGACAAAGCAGCAACAATGCTAAGAGCAGTTTCACTAGTTCTCTATATAATTCTTCTAGCCAATTTTAAAATAACAGTTAAGAGAATGTACTTCAGAAAGCACTCTGTCCATTGGTTATAAACATCTAGCTCAACTAAGTATAATTGGCTGAGAAATTGCCACTCAGTGATAGAAAGTGGGCTTGGCATCTGTCAAGAGTTCAAAGAAATTTATTTCTCCTTTCTCCAAACATGCCCTATGGAACTTGAAAAAAGAATGTGTAAACAGAACAATTAACCTAGATTCTCTGGACATATAGAAGGTTAGTGTGAGCCAAGAACTGTTCAAACTACAAAGATACAAATTTAACATTTTGTGAACTTGCAGATCAACAGAGAATAAAACAATACTTAAGGAAATTTTCTTTAAGATTTATTTTTAAATAACGAATTTAAAACTTAGATAATATAAAACTTTGTACTATAATGTAAATTTTAATGCTGATATCATTGACAAACATTTATCATAAAAATAGCTTAATTAAACTTTAAATGTAACTAAGTAAAAGCTTGTGACATGCACAGAAAAAGGTCACCCTAAGAAAAGAGTTAATAGTAGTCATTATTTTTTGAGCATGTTACAGATGGTATTTCAGTCTACTCACCATATTTTCTAAAAAACTCAATTTTTTCTAGGTTTTTAAACATTTTACTTGAGAGAGATTTTACATTAACTTGAACTTCAAAATTAAACTGTACATAAGAAGCTTAATGTAGTTTAAAAAGCATTCAATCCATCTGTAATCTAATTTGCTATATTGTTGTATGCACTTATGAAATATAGTCTGCCAGTGATATAATAACTATGAGGAATACAAACTGTATATAGTAAGACAGTTTACACCCCCCTGGTGTATTATTCTGAAGGGTTATAACACTAAAAATTTGGTTTTGATACCTGTTGTGGACACATCACCAACATCTCATTGTGCAGCTTTGTGCTTAACAACAAAGAAAGAAAAAATAGTTTTGAAGTTATAGTCACGAGGAGTTTATGTTCCAATAGTTATTATATTGTAAAGCATTGTTGTTGAAAAGCTCTATATATGCACAATAATGTGTGTGAAACTCCATGTGGAGAGAATAATGTAACAATAAAATCTTTTAATTGTGGTTTAAATGACTATTCTAGAGTACTAAAGAAACATCAAGTGTGGTTGAAGAAGGAATGTTTTATATCTAAGATCTAATTATTTTATGGCAAATGTTATAAGTAATATGTACGCCAATTAGAATTTTAAATTTAGAACTTATGTATTACAAGCTTCTGCACTCATCATTTATATTCACTGTTTTCCTTTGAATTGCAAAGATAAAATAAAAAGAATCATGCACTTTAAAACAGTTTCTTTCCTTCTTCCATATTTTTATTATTCATCTAATTTTTTAGCATATCAGTGTAACTGAAGTTAAGTTCTTGTGCTTTATACAATACCACATCAAATTGTGGTTTGTTAGTTGCCTAATTTTGGGCCAACGTGATTGTAATTTTTTGTTTTAAACTATCTATATTTTGTGTTTTCTTTGCTTATAACTGTGGAATCACTGGAATGCTAGTCCAAAGCCTGGCATGTATCCTAAGGAGACCTCTAGAAATTGACATAGTGAGGGTCAGTATTCAGATCTGATCTCCTATGTCTTCCCCATGCATTAAGTGGGTAAATTAAATCCAAGTGAAAAATAAGTAATGTAAAAAGCAAGATTTAACCTGTTTATTCATGATTAGTGTCAAGTTAACTAGTTACAACTATTAATGTGGAAATATTCTGGCAAGTATCAGTGGAATTTTCTTATTATTCAGAAGTTTAGGAACAGCAGGAAAAATTAGAATATTTAGTACAGCTGTACCAAATAATTTTACCTCATTTTCAAATATAGGCTGACATGAAGAAAAAATACACTCATTCAACCCAAACTGACCTAAGTCATTTTCGAAGAGAGAATTTCTCACAGGTGTACCTTCCTAAGTAAGTGAAAGTATTTTTTATATATTATTTTCCAAAATTAAAAGTTAGAACATAATAATGTTTTGTAGGAATTAAACATTCACAGTTTGTTAGGTATAATGAGTGGGTTTTATTTATGAACTTGGGACTGGTATGTACTTTTAAGGAAGATAGTAATGAAAATGTACAATTTGTTTGTAGAGTTTGCAGGTTTGAGGCTATCATAATTAACATAGAGGCAATAGATACAGAGAAGTGTAAACTGTGGGAAATGGCAGAAGGATCCATCAGCCAACAATGACTTTTAGGAAGTTAGAAACATTACTATTAGGGCTAAAAGTAGTGGATTTAATTGAGCATGTTCTGTTGAGCCAAAAAAACAGAGAAAGATATTATTGATAAACTTAAGGAAGTTATAGTTATTGGGATTCTTTGACAAGGCATGTGGATGGGATAGTCAATGGGGGTAAATAGGAAGAAAAGAAAACAAACAAACACAAACAATTTTTTGCTGACATAAATAATATTCTTATTTTTTTCACTCTGTTAGCATAAAACAGATATGTAGGTGCTCCTTCATTTATGAAATTCCTTTAAGTTATATTTTAAATGTTATTTCTGAAGCACACTTGCTTCCTCTCACACATTAGTTTTATCCCAATGAAAGTTTCTCTTCTCTGCCCATTTAAGCATTGGTATGAATCTTACCTCTCTAGCTCCAGCCTTTATACCCCACTGTATTGCCAATAGCCATTTAAATCTTGTGATTTTCTCTACCTGCGTCAATGCACCACCTATACCAGATCCGTATATAAGCTCCCCATTATTACTTCCTATTCACTTTTCTCGACAGCAGAACTTTTTGATGATGGTTTTATGTGCTTGTTGTGGGTTTCTCTTACGTGTTCTATAACTTTAGTTATACCTGTGCTTTGGATGATTTTTTTTTACCTGTCTTACTGGGTTTTGAGTTTATTGTTTCTTTTCAGCAAAAAAAATAATTCTGAAAATGTTTCAGATATGAATTCTCACATTCATGTCTCTGATGTGGAGTCTCCTAGTGCTCCTAATCTTCCACCTTTGGAGCCTAGCAGTGCCCAGGCATTAGGGGAGGCCCCATTTCCATGGAGGACATCCAATCCATCATATGCAGAGAGCCTCATGAAGCCTCATGTTTCTTTTCCTGTTGGCTCACAGTCTGAGTTTGCGGGGGATCAGGGGCAAACTGGTGAGAACTTGTACTCTATTTTTCCAGCTTCTTCCTTTGCTCAGACAGCTAATCATGACCTCGGATGGACATCACACCTCCTACACTGTTTTTGCACCTAGTAAATGAAGTTTATAATGTCTTGAGCATTTCTTAAGTGTTTTATGACTCTTCTCCCTTTTTGTTGGGGAAAAGTCCTTTGGCTGATAACCTAGTTTTTCCACCTTTGCCAGATATTGTTTAGAGATTTGCTGAACAATTGAGAGAGAGTGCTTGCCATGCCTTGTACTCCCCATTTATCGGATCAGCATGCCTTAGCTTTCCATCGCTTGGAGGACCCATAATTAGATTTTCAGAGGTTAGATTCTCTTTTCCCTATTTAGGGTTCTAGGCTTGATGCCACTATTTGTCATAATCTTACAAAGTTTTCCTGGATTCGTCTGTCCATTACAACAGCTATGCATTTTTTATCTTCTTTGCAACTGTTGTCTGAGTTCAATTACAGGTCTCCTGCTCAGTTTAAGAGGATCTTAATCATTTATTGACTTCTACTTTGGTATGGTTATCAGCTTTTGCTCTCTTCTTGGTCTCTTGGTTAGTTTGTTGCTGGGATCTTCTAGAAAGAGATGCCTTGCTTGAGGATGTTCAACTTCCTTCTTCAGATCTTAAAGATCTCAGAGAAGCTCCTTTTCTCAGACATTCAATTTTTGTAGGTATTCCAGATTCCATGGAATCTCAAGTGGATGTGGCCCATTTCCACTCTTCTGTTTCAACAATGTCCTCTCACTTTTCCTGGTCTTCTAAAGGACAGTTTCTTGTAATTCCCATTTAGGTTTCCAGACCTCTGGCATCAGCTCCATGTTCTATTGGAAGACAAAGGAGATTCTGCCCTCATCAGTTGGCATCCTCTGTTCATGTGGAGCACCAACAATGGCATCAGTGACTACCTTATGGGATCTGGTCCTGTGGGGGCTTGACTCAAATGGTTTGTGTCTGTATGGGAGACCTTCACCAATGATCAATGGGTCATTTAGGTTCTTATGAGTGCAATGGTCCTTCATTTCATGTCTCCTCAATTGTCTATCATACTGATTGTCTTTCCCCTTCCCAAGGATTGTATTACATCCAGTTGTCAAGCACGATCCAGGATCTTCTGCACAAAGAGGCTGTAGAGTGCATCGACTCTTCTCTCGGGGTTTTTATTCCCATTTGTTTGTAATACCATAAAAGACAAGTGATTGGTGACCTATCATGGAGTCTTCAAATCATTATCTCCATTTTGTGCACAAGAGAAAGGTTTTTCAGTTTTGCACTCAACCTTTCGGCCTAGCATCTACCCCATACGTCTTTTGCCAGATATTCTGACCCTTTACACATCATCTTCACTCATTGGGCATTCATACTCACCATTATATGAACAACTGGCTTCTTCTCGCCTCTTGGCAGAGCTTCACACTCAAGATCTTTTATCTAAAGCTGTTAGAGCTGAGTTTATCATCAAAATGGAGAAGTCTATTCTTACTCCCACACAGTACCTTGTTCATTTAAGGATATCTTTCAATTCACATCTCAATCGGGCCAAATCTTTTCCTCTACACGTTCATGCCATGGAATGGGCTTTTCTTCTAATACAGTTGTCTCCTTCTCCACCAGCATGTGTGGTTCTATTTTTTATGGGGATGTGGACATCCTTGGAATTGCTCATTCCTTTGGGTTGGGCCCACATGTGTTCTCTTCAGGGATCGTTATGGGACCAATGAAACATTTGCATAGATGTACTGGATTGCCCGGTGACCCTATCAGCTTCCAGCCTGCTTAATCTTGGCTAGATGTTGAACAGGGACAACATGACAGTAACAGTTCCTCTCCCACCTCCATGTCCAGAGATACATTTTTTCATAGATGCTTCTCACCAGGAATGGGGAGCTTGTGTAGGGGATATGGAATTCAAGGGCCTTTGGACAGAAGAGGAATCTTCTCTCCACATCAATTTTTAGAGCTTCTTGCAGTTCAGTGAGATATGTCTTGGGCTCTTAAATTGGTGTGAGGAGAGGTGGTAATGCTTCACTTGGACAATTCTACTGTGGTCTACTACATTTCCAAGCAAGGGGGCACTCACTCCAGGTCTCTTTGTTTTTATACATTAGATCTTCTCAACCATCTGCCTTAAGAGAAATTTCCCAGTGATAAAACGTTGTGTTGATAAAGGTCATCCCATCTTTGTATCATAAGCTGATGAAAATACAAATATTAACAACTGGTCAGTCTAGGGACAGTAAATGAGTAAAATTTTCTTTTTGTTAATCAAACTTTGACATACTATGTCTCTTACAATTTATGATTGTAATGTATATGTTAACAATGTTAATTGTCAAGAGTTACTTAATTATTAAATGTGAAAGTTTACTTTAAATGTACCATTGTTTACTTTGTGTAAAGGTATTGTTTAAGAGACTTCACAATGCAGAGACGGGCAGTGTTTTTTTAAATTTAGATGTTTGTATTGTTTTTCTTTAGTTAAGAGTTTTTTTTTCACTTTATGTGAATAACACTGGCTTAATCACTAGAACTTTCTTATAAGTGAAGGAAATGATTTGAATGATATAAAACTTGTGTTAGACTAGAAGTTGTTTATTGGTTTTATGAGTTTGTTAATCAATTTTTTAATTACTTCAGTTTTGTGAATACTGAATTTGTTTCAAATAAGTATTAAAGGTATGAGAAAGTGCTGTACATATAGGAAAAAATTAGCATTTCAGATTGTCTGCTAGTGGCTACTGTAGTACTGTGAACTTAGGCCTATCAGTGAACATTAGGCTAACATACTATTTTTAGTGGAAGAAATAAAACACTCATTATCATGAAGTGTAGTGGACTTTGCATTCTCCTTTTTTACCAAATAATCCAAATGAACTCACCCAACAAAAGAAACCATGACATCTATATATATATATATATTCACACACACACACGGACACACATGCGTATAGATATAAACACAAAGAAACTAGATAATATCTTAGTAATTTGATAGGCGGACTTACCTTCTTCCTCTACCCTTGAAGAAGAAAGATTCACCTGTCAAAAGTTTTAGGTTTCACAAAATGTCATTAAGTTTGATTTACCAAACTTTTTCAATTCTGTATGTCTTTTTATCATCAATCATATATATTATACATACACACACACACATATATGAAAGAATTTAACTCCAGATTATTTTTAAAGAAAGAATGGAAAATAACATACAGGACACACAAAACTTGTTTTTTGCTTCAGCTACTGTCATGGATTCTTTGATACTAGTATATGCAAACATTTATATAATATTCCCCTAATAATGGTTAGTGATAATTAAAGTGCATCACACAAATGAAGAGTTTTTAAAATAATGTTAATTGCTAGCAGTTTATCAGTTTTTGTTTTTCATTATGTTGCATGAAAATAGATTAAACAGTAACTATAAGCAGTGACTCTATGACTTTTCTAAAAGAAATGTTTTCATTGAAGTACAGTCTCAGACAATGGAATATCAGGAGAGGCTTTAACAACAATAACATATATATAATTACTATCTTGTTATGAATACAAATATATTCAAACATTTGATGTTTCCATAATAACTATTTAGTGAAATAGCCAAATAATTTTTATATTTCTAATTGCAGAAATTTGTCTCTTCAGAGTGAGTGTTGATTGGCCAGTTTGGCTCTAATGCCAACATTATGCAAAACCAAATTTATTTATTTAGTAATGCAAATAAATACAGCTTTACCTATACTCTCCAAGTATTTTAGGTAAAATATAGAAACTTACAAATAGTTGATACTTTCAACTTGAAATGTTAGAAAATCTAGATCAAAGTTTTACTGGAATGTTAACTGACATAGAGAAAAACTAATATTTGAGAAATATGGTAAATTTCACATAATTCATGGCTAAATGTGAGAATGAATAAGAGTAATTAAAACCATATGCACATTATATTTTTGGAGCTTAATTTATAGTAGTGAGTACTGATCTCTTGACCTTTTCTTTTCTTCCTAGAAAAAATTGGAGTCAGACAAAACAAGATAGAGGAATATCCATACCCAAAATTTATAACCACCTGAGTAGAGTAAGAGGTGATTCATCAGGAACATGTCTAAAAGTTGTTAATATAACATTGGATCTGTGAAACATCCCAGAAAGTATGAATTATCTGCATGTTAGTGACTGTTTCATATCTAATAAATTCCATTTGTTAAGCCATTAATTTATGTGATACAGTTAATTGATAGTGTTTGTCTGGTAGAGCATTTGCCCATTAATGCAGTAAAATTTAGTGTATAAACTGTTGCACAAATATTTACAGTAAATTAGCTGTAGAACTGTTAAAATTTTATTTAAATTGAAAGAATATACTTTAATATATAGGTTTTTGTTTTAATTGACTACATGTCAGAACAAGGATCTTTAGTTTTGAACACAGTGGGCAAGCTTTAAACAAGTAAAATTTTAAGACTTAAGTAAAAACCCCAAAGGAAATAAAGCTTATTAGTTTGTTCATTTTTCATCACATTCAGTAGATGTTCTCAGATTTTTACCTATAATTAGTTCTGATCAATAGCAGATATTTTAAATTAATTTTTAGGAAAGATAATCTAATGATGATATAAGTTGAACTCTATAAGAACATGGACTTCAAGAATTTTTCTTATTTCACAGTAGATTACTGAATGGAATAAACTTATCTATGAGGTGCCTCAACACTCTTTTGTGTGTCTACATTCACAAACATGGAACTAAATAATATATTTTATTTAGTTTTAGCATTTTAAGACATTCAATATTTATAAAAGAACATAATGATATAATAACCAGTCAAATTATAGCCTACATTTAGAAGTTTTACATTTCAAAAATGCATAAACAAAACTAATTATTTGGCACTTCCAGATTACTCTATGTATTTTATTATTACATGTGACTTAGAAAGCTACTCACATTGGCCAGTAAGAAACGAGTCACTGACACACAAAAAGCTAGTGTCTGGATGAACCATGCAGTACAATGTATTCATGTAGATTTTGATAGTAGTTAGTATTTTGTACAATATGTAAACATCCATTAACTTAATACTTAAAAAAATATCAACTTATTTACCTATAGGAAAACATGGCTTCAACCTGTAGTGTCATTATTTGTTAACATAGTGCAATATTGACAAGTCAACACAAGCTAGAAATGTAAAATAGTGCAATATTAATAAGTAAACATAAGCTAGAAATGTAAAATAGTGCAATATTGACAAAAAAACACGTTAGAAATGTAAAATAGTGCAATATTGACAAAAAAACACAAGTTAGAAATGTAAAATAGTGCAATATTGACAAAACAACACAAGTTACAAATGTAAAATAGTGCAATATTGACAAGTCAACACAAGTTAGAAATGTAAAATAGTGCAATATTGACAAGTGAACACAAGTTACAAATGTAAAATAGTGCAATATTGACAAAACAACACAAGTTAGAAATGTAAAATAGTGCAATATTGACAAGTCAACACAAGTTAGAAATGTAAAATAGTGCAATATTGACAAGTGAACACAAGTTAGAAATGTAATTCAGTATAAGGAAACATTGAATTATCTTAGTTGTCAATACTTGTTAAAATGATGCAATATTGACAAGTTAATATAAGTTAGAAATGTGGTTTAAAATTTTATTATTTAAGCTTTCTATTGATTTGACAGATAATTTTATTAACAGAAAAAACGTTGCGTGTTCTTTAATAAAGTGAATTTCCTTATTCATCCACTTGACTAATGGAAGCTAGTTACACAGTTAAAAACAGTATGATTTGTTTCGTGCTGGGTGGCAAAAGTTTTGCTTGTATGTGTAACTTGCATTCTAGTAGTACTTGGAATTTTATCTTTACACTGTACTTTTAACATTAGATTTCTTGTTTGTCCTCTATATATGCATAACAGTCACATGTTTTTATTATTGCTTTCATATGCATATATAGGAATTGTTCCTTGTAGTTCTACAACAGTTGTATTACCATGTAAAATTAGCTAACTTTATTCCAGTGGTACTATCTGAGCAACTATCAGTTGAACGAAAGTGTGATTGATCATTGTGGCATACTGTTTCTACATTTTCCAGCATGTTAGACATGATCATGTGCAGAGCAAGATATTTAAATATCACTGCAATAGTATATGTGGTAATTTATTTATACTAGTATATATATATATATATATATATATATGTGTGTGTGTATGTATATTCTTTGGCTCAAATTTGAACCTGAGACCCGTCATATGTCAGGTGAGTGCTCTACCAACTCAACAAAAGTATTAACCCACTAGTGTTTACTAGTAAGCCACTTTTTAACAACTTCAACTACTACACTCTTATTTTTTTTCTCATAAAATAGGCCCATCCTACACCGGATGTCAATGGGTTAATTTTACCTTTACAGTATATACATTTTCTCACCTCAGATTTGAACCTGAAACCTTCACACACCAGGTGAGTGCTCTACTAACTGAGCTACAGGGTTAACCTACTGGCAGCTGCTTAGTAAGGCACTTTTTAAAAACTAACTCAAACTACCAAATTCTTCCATCATCACAAGTGAAGCCCTGTTGGATGGTGAAATGGCCTATGTAGTTGAGCATCAATGGAATTATTAATTTTTCAGTGTATTTACGTTTCCTCACCTTGTATTTGAACCAAAGACCTGTCATTCTAGACAAATTCCCTTCCAACTGAGCTAAGTGGTTAACCTCCTTGGGTTTGCTAGTAAGTCACTTTTTTAACAACTCAAACTGCTATATATAATACATGTATATAACAGTTATTGAAGTTTGAAAAGTAAAACTGAATACTGAAATTTCAGTAACAAATTAGGAAATTTGATGCTGTATTAAAAAATTATTTCTACAAATTGTTGAATATTATATAGTCCACATGTTGTAAATTGAATATTTGTTGTTCTATTTCATGGAAAAGAAATAGATTCAGGCTTTAAAGCATGAAATTTAATAGCATTGGTTATATTGTTCACCATTGTGTGCTTGTTACCAGAAATGAATATTACCTCTAGTTAAGAATGTGTTTTCACATAAGATTAACTGAGTTGTAAATTGCATAACTCTAATGAAAGTGCATGTTAAACTGAGAATTGTTTTATAAGATTGTAGCTCAGTGTTAAACATCTTTAAAGTTACATAGATGTACCTCTTCTGTCAAACTCGCATATGTATTTGTTATTTTTATTTATATCACTGAATTTGTGATTTAACCAGACCAAAACCCCTAAAATATGGTGCTAAGTTTCCACATCATCAGCTTTAGTACTACTCATTTTTACTTTTGATTGTTGCATCATTAAAAACTTAAAAAGTCAAAAAACTGGCACAAAATCTTAACCTGATTTTGAAACAACTTCCAAGTTTGTTATCAAAGTTTGCCTACTGTGATGAGGATTGATTGCTATCTTAGGGTATATGTGGCCAGAAATTCAACTTTCAAACTAGTTGGCAAAGTTGACCTATGTTGATGAAGGTTGATTGTTGTTTTATACATGGCTAGAAATTCAACTTCCAAACTAGTTGTCAAAGTTGACCTATGTTGATGAAGGTTGATTGTTATTGAATACATGGCTAGAAATTCAACTTCCAAACTAGTTGTCAAAGTTGACCTATGTTGATTGTTGTTGTATACGTAGCTAGAAATTTAAACTTCCAAACTAGTTGTCAAAGTTGACCTATGTTGATGAAGGTTGATTGTTGTTGTATACATGGC